GATGTCTATCACCACAAAAAAGAAACAACCAGACGTTATGTTCTTCCTGGTAGGAATATACACACCACCACCTCTGATGTAGTCTTGCCAAAGAAGAAATAGGGTATATTTTTCTGTATCTGAAAGGTCTTTCCCCTTTCTCTCTGCCTACCCAAGTTCTGCTTATCTGTCATGACCTTTTCATGCCTTGTTTCCTCCAACAAAGATATCTGTGGGACATTATGACTTCTCTAAAGTCTTGCAGTACTTGAAGCAGTGCTGTCCAATAAAAATATAATATGAGCCACGTATGTGTTTTAAAATTTTCCAGTAGCTACATTAAGAAAGTAAAAACAGGTGAAGTTACTTGTATTAATACATTTTATTTAACCTAATATATCCAAAATATTAGCATTTAATCATATAATCACTAAAAACAGTAATGACACATTTTATGTTATTTATTTCATACTGTCTTCAAAATCTGGTGTGTGTTCTACACAGTACATCTCATTCTGTGACTAGTCACATTTCAGTTGCTTGACAGTCACTTGTAGATAGTGGCTACCACATTGGACAGCAAACGCTTACAGAATTCATTATACAATTTAGCATATGATGATCAGGTCAAGGCAGACAGAAGATGGGTTCCCCATAAAATCAGACTCATAACTGGAGGAATGTCATCCCCTAAACACCCTTACGACATGTTCAGGGCTGCAGGGGAAAATGTGAGAGGTGACTGCTACAGACTGAATCTTTGTGGTCCCCCACCCCCCAAATTCTTATGCTGAAGCCCAGTCCCCAGGGTGATAGTATTTGGAGGTAGGAACTTTGGAAGGTAATTAGATCATGAGGTTGGAGCCCTCATGATGAGATTGGTACCCCTATAAGGAGAGTCAGGAGAGAGCTTACTTTTCTCTCAGCTCTTCTCTGGGCCATGTGAACACACAGCTGTAAGTGTTGTTTACAAGCCCGGAAGCCAGCTCTCACCAGACACAAATCTGCTGACACTTTGATCTCGGACTTTCCAGCCTCCAGAACTGTGAGAAGAAAATGATTGTTTTCTAAGGCACCCAGTGTATGGTACTCTTAACAGCCCAAACTGACGGAGATTGTAACCAATCACCCAGATAATGTGCTAATGAGATGATTCTCTCATCACAAACACAGTCCAGTTCAGTAAGAAGATGTGGGAGGACAGCAGAGGAGGTTTTTCTGCCTTAGTTTATAAAGAATACGGGGAGAGCACCTACTAGACTGGGAGAACTGAGGCTGTCACATCTAAGTTTTTAATTCTTCTACGTAAGTAGTAATGCATGAGGCTAGAAGTTACCGCTGGAATGACCTGACGTATATTTCATTGTTCATGAGAACTGGATAGGCTTTTTGAATCTGGATCTGAGATGCTGTTATAACTGGTTCTAGATATACAACTACTGGTTGACATTCATAAGGCCAAGACTTGTTCCTTGGGGATAGAAAAATATATGTCATTAAAAGAAATGCCTCAGTTTACTAAGCAAAATAAAAGAAATATTTCCAAGTAAACATTTCAAATGCAAAAATCTGTGGCGAACAATGAGTTCTGTTACTGCAAGCCTGAGAGAAGACATCTTGTTGGGGGATGGTTAGATTTTTATTTAAGGGCTTATCAACATCTAGCTCAAATGAAAACATCTGATTATTGTCACCACCTGTCTCTACAAGTTTCTTCTCATTTCCCAATAAACCTGCTTTTGTGCCCTCTGTCCCAGTCAAACATATCCCTGGTGACTTTCTCAACAAGGTGATTTCCTTCTAGTTTGGCCCTAGCCCTGCAGTTATAGAACATCCTGTTTGATATAATGAACCCTGCACCCCTTAAAAGGAGTCTCCAAACACTACCCTTTCAGGGTACTGAAATGAACCATGATCTTGCCTAACCTGCACCTTCCACCAGTATTTTCATTATCCTTCTTTAAACCAGTCACTCCATTCTTTCAGTGATATATTTTTTTTAATAGCAACTTCATATTTACATTATTCTCTGCCTGGAAGTCATGTGAGACTTTTCCTGGTGCCGAGCTTGGTTAATTAGCATGACACGCTTGGGTAACGCAGTGGCTGACAGGAAAGATTAGGAGCAAATTCTCCCACAGCAGTTTCCTCTCTTCCTTGAAACTAAACTTAGAATAGCCTTTCTCCTCCCAGCTGAAGGAAATATAATGGCAAACATATTAATGGCTTGAAGAGGAAAGAAAAAAATGATTAAGACAAAAAAAAATTAGCCTTTTTTTTTCTAAGCCAAATTCTTTTTTGCACTGAAGAAAGGTAGATGAGAAATGACCTGTTCAGGGGAGGGAGCCCGGGCCAAGACTTCGCTCAGGTTAAGGGAAAAATGTCATGGCCAAGCTTCTGCTCTTGGGGTCATAGATCTTTAGCAGAGTCCTTTAGTGAGTTTGGGGTTGGTAATGGAGGCAAAACTGCTTGATGTGAGAGAGTAACAAAAATTTAGAGACTGAGAGGCTAGTATGTGGGGTGAGGGGTGGCCAAGAAGATGTGCTGCCATTTTGAAATTCCTCCTGGTGCGGGAATAGCTGGAAACTGTTACGACAGTGTTGCTTAGGTTTCTGATTAAATCTGTTACTGTCCTGTGCTGTTCTGCAATTCCCTGACGGTATTGTACATCTTCAGTAAAATTCTGCTGTATCCAACAGCATTGTGTTCACGGTATTGGAAGGAGTGCTGTATCCAACACAAGCAAAAGGGACCAAGAAGAGAGGAGGCCATCAAGAGAAACAGAGTAATGGTTTGGATGGCTAGCTCAGAAAATGCTGTATCTGGAGAAAGGACAGGAATACAGGGCTGGAGGGAGAGGAGGACAATATTCCAGAATAAGTGGACTGAGGGTTCCACTGTCTTACTTGTGTATTAAAGAGAGGTCTCTGAAAGCTGTAAGATTTGAGGACATCTGGTTCATATTATTGCATACTGGCATTAAAATAATTAAAACACTCGAGTTATCTGCCAGTCCCATGGTTCCCAACTGTATTTCTCAGACTAGTAAAATTTTAGGGGCTGGTAGCTTTCTCCTGTATTATGCAAAGATATTTAAAAAATGAATTATCACCACTGTTTCATAAAATAAAGAACATTTATACATAATACAGGCAAAATGGAAAGGGTATAATCTCAGAACAATTTTAAAAATTTGTTTTTATATGAAATGATCTCACGTTTAACCTACTAAAAAGTATATATTTTATTTAGTTTTAGCTTAAAGATTCCTTAAATCTTTCTTCCCCTATTTATTCATTTTTTTCAAAAACATCAGTAAACTTGTTATGTGCCAAGCACTGTGCTAGGTACTAAGGTACAGAGATGAACAGGACTCTGCCCCGTCCTCAGTATCTCCTGGTTTTCTAGGAAGGTCAATCAGGTGACCCCAACTGCAAACAGTGCAACCTGTGCTGTGGAAGAGGAGCTCACCCAATACTACCAGTGGAAAGGCTCAAGCAAAAGTTAAAAAGTGGTCACTCTATCTCCAAGTAGAAGTGCAAGAAACACTGAAGCCTGATGCCAGGTTGTAGTTTGCACACATCATTTGAGTTTCCTTACCAATGGTTTAGGGGAAAAGTGACAGACACCCAGAGACCATGAGGTTTCATTTGTTCTGAGCCAGTCAGAAGGCTGGGAACACACCTCATGTACAATGGCAGCTGGTCCAATTCCGCACACTGGACTGGAAGAGGTGGGTTACAAGGAACCTGGGGAGTAAAAACTGCCCCTCCCACTTATCCTCAGTGGAATGACTCCGCACACAGCCACTCTGCTCACTTCAGGACGTACGCTGAAGGTCAGCGGGGGACAGGACTGGGTGAGGACCATGGTGACATGGTCCCGGGTGAGGACCAAGCTTAGGATTTGGTGCCACACTGGAGATGGGGCACTTGCTCAGTACACACACTGGGTAAATGTCTGGGAGTGGTGATGGGCACATTGGTCGCTCTGGCTCAATACTACCCAAGCGCCGAGGTTTCTGAGTTCTGCTCCTAAGTAAGTCACAGAGAGAAGCATATCTTCGTATCCTAATCATCTGGTTCTGGAATTTCCTGAGGGAGTAGGGAATACTGGCATAGTAATGGATGCATATACAGTCATTCATATGTATACATTACATGTACATACATTTATTTGGGAAGGAGATCTAGAGGCAGGTACATGGAGGAGTTTTCTCTGTGCCTCAGAGGACACCGTATTAGAAGGGAAAAGCTAACTGTATGCGTTTTCTTACCTTATACAATCAGTATATGTGTCAAAGGAATAGTTGCTAGAACAGTCATTTCCTCCCCTTATCTAACCTCAATTTTTCATCATAAATGGGTCTAGAACTTTAACACAACTATCCCTTCTGACATGAAATCAAAACCTGGATAGATCGGCTGATGGCTGCAGTCCCTATATCTTTGGCCAGGTCCTCTAGCTTCTCTGAAGCACATACGTGTGACAAGGGTACAGAAACGCAGGAAGTGACTCGAATGCACAGAGGTTCTGCAGCTTGCGTCCATTCTCACACGTTCCCATTTTAGATTCTGAGCAGCTCTCCCTCCCCATGCGCTATGAAATAGAAGGGTCTGGCAGACTCATCCAAATGGGATGAGCTTCCTTCCTCGCAGGGGATTAGGAACAGAGGTGCGGTCCTTTCCCTCCGCAGCCCTAGAAATCGTGACCTTCCTAGAGAAAGGCCAGCAGGGGGCCAGGACCCGCAGACAGTGCGGGGAAACCAGCTCCTTTGCAAAGCTCAGAAACGCCAGCCACCAGGCCAGGGGAGGCGCGAGAGGAGGCGGAGTTGTCCCTGAGGCCGGTGGCAGACGATGCAGCAGCTCGAGCAAGGCAGTGATTGCCTTGAAGGAGAAAGGGAACGAGGGTCCCCAGCCCCTGAGGTCTCCCGTGGTCGATTCCCAGGGGACCTAGAGCAGCAACAGGATCTGACATCTGGCAAGTTCTTGGGAGTCGAGCGAGGGGAGCGAGTGCCTTACCTGGCCGGGCTGGCTGGTGTAGTTGAAGGAGTAGATGTTCTCGGTGCTGAGGCTCACCACCCCGCTGTAGATGCGATCGAAGTCGGCGCCCCTG